GGGGAGGGGGGGAGAGAGAGCAAGGGAGAGATGAAATAGAGAGAGAGAAAGAGGAAGGGAGAGAGAGGGAAGGATGGAAAGGGGTGAGAAAGTAGGAGGGAGGGAGAGAGGAATTGGAGGAGAGTGTGGGATTGGGAGAGGGTGCAATTTGCTGGTGGGCGGTTGCGATTCTCTACAGGCCCAGGGTGATGAGTTTCAGAGTATCCCCCTTGTGGGCAATGTAGAAGTAGGGAAAGATGGTCTCGGTGAAGGTGTCCTTGAAGGTGTAGAGGTGGGACACGTCATCGGCGTTGTAGAAGGAGACCTGGCCCGCGCTGTAGTCCAGGAAGACCCCGACCCTCCTCAGCTTGTCCTTGATCTGGAGCTCGATGGGGGGCGAGGTGAGGGCTGTGTAATCTCCGTCTTGCAGAGCCAGGGCCCACACCCCGGCCTGGGGCTCCGGCGTGAAGAACTTGCGGCTCTCCTGCCAGTGGAAGGGCGCAAAGCCCCTCTTCCTGGGCACCGAAGCCTTGGCGACACCCAGTTGCCAGACCGTGCTTTCGTCCACATCCACCTCCCAGCTGTGCCTGCCCGATGAGAAACCCTCCGAGCCCAGCACGCTGAGCCAGCGACTGAAACGCTCCGGGTTGTCAGGGATATCCTCCTGCTTCTCTCCCACCTTCACCTCGGTGCCATCCCCGGACAGGATGAGGTGGGCATTGGCCGTCAGCGGGTCAAGGGTCAGTAGCATCGGAACTGAAAAACACACGGAGAGAGAAAGGGATGGAGACGGAAAGACTTCGGCAGAGCTGTTGTCAGCTCTCCATCCTGTCCCACACCCCCCCGGAAAGAGACCAGTCGGCCCGTTGCGCCTGTGCCAACCCTTCGAGAGAAAACACTCCCCTCTTCTTTCTCCGAGAATCCATCATTTATCTGACTTCCCTCCCAAAAGTTCCCATTATGAATGTCAGGAGCAGGAGCAGGCCATTCGGCCCCTCCGCCACTTAACACAATCAGGGCTCATCTCCTGTTGGCCTCAACACCGTTTCCTGGCAGTTCTCCATAACCCTCTTTTGCGAATTAGAAATTGGTTTCCTCCTTAAATTTGTTCCGGGGCAGATTCGCGAGAGAAGTAGTTTCTCGTTGTTTGGGTTTTAAACCTGCCGCCCCTCAGCCTAAAACGATGACCTGCCGTTTTGGATTGGCCCACATAAGGAAGCATCCTCTCTATGTCCATGAAATCGGAATGTGTCCATTCAGTTCCAGGTCCCTGTGAGGGTAAATATTCCCCTATCTTTTACCCATTGATTTCTATCCGTCTTCTCTGGTCACCAATGTGCCGAAACTGACAGCCCCTTACTTGCCCTGTTGAAATTGTTCACCAGATCTCCGATCAACCTTCCCCTGACCGTAAGGGGATCAATCCTGGTGCTCCAGGTCTCTCCATAGAACCCAAATCCCTCATCCCCCGGCCAATGACCTCTGACCCCTCTCCAAGACTCCGATGTCCTTCCTAAAGTAACAGGCACAAACCACTAGCCAGGGTCATAGTATCCGTACAGTGTGGAAAGAGGCTATTCAGCCCATCGAATTTGCATTGACCCTCCTAGGAGCATCCCTCCCAGATGCCTACCCTACCCCCCATAACCCTGCATTTCCCATGGCTAACCCACCTAACCTACACATCCCCAGACACTCTGGGCAATATAGCATGGCCAATCCACCTCGCCTGCACATATTTGAGCTGTGGGAGGAAACTGGAGCACCTGGAAGCACAGGGAGAATGTGCAAACTCCACACAGACAGTCGCCCGAGTGCAATTGAACGCAGGTCCCTGGTGCTATGAGGCAGCAGTGCTAACCACTGAGCCACCGTGCCGCCCCCTAACCAGCACTCTACTGGTTATAGTTCCTCTGTGAGATGTGGCTGACACTGCTGAGAGCCGAATTAGTTGGCCGTTCCTAATCGGTCTTGAACTGAACAGCATACTTGGTCGTTTCACACAGCAGCTAAGTACGAACCAGTTGGTTGACTGGTGTGCTTCGGGATTCCGATGTAGGCCTCTTGGTAATTTCAATGAAGGGTTCCAGATAGCGAAGGGTCACGACAGACAGGTCTGGCCCAGACTCCAAAATACCATCTCACTCACAGGTATTCTAGGGAATGATACGCAAACAGAGCCTCTGACCCCTGACCCCAGCCCGTGCTGAGGGTCAGTACTGAGGGAGCGCCGCACTGTCAGAGGGTCAGTACTGAGGGAGTGCC